AGTGGTGGTGATGGTCATGATGGTGATGACAGTGGTGGTGATGGTCATGATGGTGATGACAGTGGTGGTGATGGTCATGATGGTGATGACAGTGGCGGTGATGGTCATGATGGTGATGACAGTGGTGGTGATGGTCATGATGGTGATGACAGTGGTGGTGATGGTCATAATGGTGATGGCAGTGATGGTGATGGTCATGATGGTGATGGTAATGAAAGTGCTGGTAATGACTACAGATATTTTTTACTCTAGGCTAAATGATTTTCCATTGAGATCTTTTGGGATAAGATTTCTTTGTTTGAGCTTCAGTCATATAGAGCGTTTTCACATGACGTCAAAGCCACCCTATTGGTGTACCTTTGACAATAACTTTGTCTATTTTCTTATGTTAGGTACACAAATATGGCTGTCATCTCTATTGTCATTTAACTCTCTAGGGGCTGAAGTGAAAACGCTCTATAAGTGTAAATGTATAAATGCTTACTTTTCATTGCTCAACTCATCTTTAGCTTCTGTTAATTCTTTCTGTAGTCCAGCGATGGTAGCCTGATAACGGTCCCGTTCTATCCTAAAGTGTTCTTCAAGGGAGTTAGCAAGCTTGACTTTTTCTTCACACGTCTCACCAAGTCTCTTCAGTTCTGATTCTCCTTCTTGTTTCGATGATTGTAATTCTTTTTGTAATTTCTGCACAAGTATGAATGTCATTAGGCGTAGCCATTTTGACAAACCACATCTTGTGATGCTTAAATACTCCTATTTCAAAAAACGTTGTCATCGCCAAAGGCGATAGGCGATAGGTTATTCCAACATGGAAATGCCGTTTCGTTGAATACAAAGAATATTGAATCAGTCTCAACACGAAGGTCCATGTTCTTGACGAGAATAAGAAACAGAAACACAAGTCATTCCAGCTATTATTGGATTTTAGAATGACCCTCTCCTATTGCTTTTCGCTTATCTGCTATTGCCTATCGCCTTTCGATGACAACGTTTTTTGAAATAGATGAAGAACAGTATTTGATAAATGTTTAATTTTAGCAATGCTCCTTGCAGCATGCCTACAGTTTGCACTAGTCATACTATAAAATGTTTTATTCAGTTAGAAACTGCTGCTGCAACCATTGCAAGAAGCAGGCCTAGAAATTACTTCTTGAAGTCAGCCAGACAAGTTGCAATTAACAAATGCGTTAAAACACTCATGAACAATTTATAAGATTTTGGTTCAACTGGAGCCACCATACACGTCACGAACATGGATTTTTATACTTCGATAGAGATTTGACGTCACGGGCATGTCAAGGCAAAGACAGGCGCGTTAGTCAAAGATAATTAGGGTTGACTATGACCTTGATGAAGCTCTAAGTCTTCATCTAAACTTGGATGCATACTTCATCCCTGATGAAGTCATCCTCATAGTATTCGAGTGGTCTTTATATAAAGATCACATGTGTCTTTATATATAAAATCACTTGAATACTAATGAAGAGGACTTTATCGGGTATAAAGGTTCATGCACGTGACGTGTATGGTGGCTCCAATTGGACCATAAGCTTATGAATTATTAATGAGTGTTTTAAGTTCATATATTTATGTGTAAATAATGTCAGCACTGGAGAAAATATACCGGAAAAACGCGCAGACAAAATTTAGGAATATTTCATATCGTTTTGACATTTCGCTCATAGCATTCGCATCGCCAATATTGCATTTCAGGTTTGGTATGCAACGTGCAACAAAACCTTTACCAACCTTATTTGATATATAGAGGATATTACATGGGCGCGCGGAGATACGAAATTTATCTTCGAGTGTTGAAAAGATCTCTCACGAGTGAGCGTAGAGAGAGATTTTCAACACGAGAAGATAAAATTCCTATCTCCAAGCGGCCATGTAATATTCTGTTTATTATATAATTATCAATGAAGTATGTTTTGGCTTTTTCAGGCAATTCTTCCCGTGTATTTTTGAATAGCCATCGCAATGGTGTTATCTTCACACGTGAAAATAACATGTTATTTTCACCTGTGAAGATATCAATTTTTCGAAATAGAGAAAAATAGATATTTCATTGGTAATTATATAATAAAGCTGTATATTTACCTCTCTCTCCGTTTGAATATCGGTGAATCTTTTCTTCATTCTCTCCAGTTCTTGAGTATGTCTCTCTTGGATGCTATTCAGCTTTTCTGTAGCATCCTGCAGCTTCCTCGATATTTCATCCTTCTCTTGTGTCATCTTCTGATATTCCACCTTGAAGGGCTCTGGTTGTGAATCAGTCATAATACCCTTGGCTTTCGTTTGCAGTTGTGTTTGTACTCCTTTAGACTTGCATCCAATGGTAGTCTCTGAGCCAGAGTTTTCAACTCGTTTGTATTTCACAGGGGTAGACAAAGTTGGACTCCAATTTCTATTTTTGCTCTCAGTGTCTTGTACCTGTCCATTTATTGCTGACAAATTCTCCCGACTGCCACCCACTAGGGGTAACAAATTGTCCAGATTACCAGCCACTAAGGATGACAATGTCTTTTGATCACTACCCTCTGGGGGTGACAAACTCTCACGACCCCCACCCTCTTGTGGTGTTAAATTTTCCCCATTACTACCCTGAGTGGTTGTTTTTGTACCAGTTGGCTTTTTCAGTTCTAATGTTTCATCAGAGCAGTCACGGAATACATCAAGTTTTGATAACATTTCACTACCATTACCGCTAAGCGTTTTAGAACCTTCCAATACATCACTCTTCTTCTGTTTCCATGGAGATCCACTCTGTTCCATATTGGACAGCAGTTTTAAAAGGTCAGATCCACGCCCCTTAACTGTTCCTTCTTGCGACAAGTTGGAAGTTTCTTCATCGTCTTCAACATTCTCCGAACAAATTGCATTATCCTTAGATAAATCCTTTATCGGTGACACATCACCTACTTGCAAACTCTCGCAAGACGACGGCTCACTTGGGATAAACTCCCTAACTTCAGGATTCAATGGGGACTTCCTTAAACTGGTATTTGAGGAATGAACAGTGCCATTGCCGTTAAACTGGCCAATATTATCGTCCTGTAGGAAATCATGCTCCATAGCCGAACTATTAAGTGTCCTTATACTAGGTTTATTTTGGGTAATATATTTGTTAACATTTTTGACTATTTCTTGGAAGTGCAGTTCGTCTGGAAGCATGACGACATTGCCTTGTACGACAAATTGCTCGGATTTCATTAGAAATTGTTTAATTCCGCCACACTCTTGTATTTTTTGTTGATGTGTTTCGGGTAGAAAGCTGATTGGTTCGATCATGCGTGCATCGCCAACGTCAAGTGGTCCGTGAGCATTGAGGGTCTCCTTAAACAACCTGGAAAACAATATTTATAGTGGTTCAGTATGAATACTGGGCAAGGACATCAAACAACCCTAATGAATTTTGACAGGAATCGAACTAGCGTGACAAGGCCATCAAACAAACCCTATTCTTGTGTGACAGGAATCGAACTAGCGTGACAAGGCCATCAAACAAAAATCTATTCTTGTGTGACAGGAATTGAACCAACGTGACAAAGCCACCAAACAAACCCTATTCTTGTGTGACAGGGATCGAACTAGCGTCACAAGGATATCAAACAAACCCTATTCTGGTGTGACAGGAATCGAACTAGCGTGACAAGGATATCAAACAAACCCTATTCTGGTGTGACAGGAATTGAACTAGCGTGACAAGGACATCAAACAAACCCTATTCTGGTGTGACAGGAATTGAACCAGTGTGACAAGGACATCAAACATACCCTATTCTGGTGTGACAGGAATCGAACTAGCGTGGCAAGGCCATCAAAAAACCCTATTCTGGTGTGATAGGAAACGAACTAGCGTGACAAGACCATCAAACAAACCCTATTCTGGTGTGATAGGAAACGAACTAGCGTGACAAGGCCATCAAACAAACCCTATTCTTGTGTTACAGGAATTGAATCAGACTTTAGAGTAAACATGGGGCTCCTCCTCTCCAAACCAAAACACACCTACAGAAACACCCAAATAAACCATAGCTTATGAGACACTTACGAATACATATAATCTTCAATAGGATCTACACAAGTTTTTTCTTTAGGTGGTGGAGTGTCTTTAGGAGCAGTGAGTGTAGTAGCTTTTGGGTCCACGGCTGCACGGTACTCTTTTTCAAAGGCCTGCACATCAGACTGCAGATGAAGAGGGATGGCGAAAGGAGAGTTTGGTACAGTGGAACTGAAACTGATACCAAGAACAGATAGTCACTAGATTTTACATGAGATATTGTGCGTAACAACCCGTGTCCACTATACAATAACAAAACATATCTCTCCATAGACCCCTTGCACTAAATCCCCTACTTTCTAGGGGAAAAAAAGATTTTAATCCTCAAGAGAAGGATATTCTTTCGTTTTGACCTCAAAATTGGAGTTAGCGCAAGATGTCTAAAGTCAGAATGGTGACAGGACCGAAATACCCCCTTTTAAAAACCATGGTTCCGTCTCTCCACACTTTCCCCGTCCAATTCTTGGGGTGCATGTTATGCCATAGCCGCCATGTTGGTTGACGATAACAAAGCATTTCTCATTAGCTTCTGTTGTTAGATCAACCAATACGGCGGCTGTTCCATTGTTATTTATTATATAGTTGGGATAATACGCGCGCGCTGATTGGTCGAAAACTGTGCGCGAGGTTCTGTTAGATTCTGCGACCGTCTTTCTTTTTACGTAAATAAATTCAATACCAAGATAAAATTAGTAACTATATAATGAAACGAATAGAACAACTTTTTCCTTGCTTCGTTCAGAAATAAAGCACTTAGGAAACGCCTTCAATTCTTGCGTGCTTTATTACTGAACGGAGCACGGAAACATCTGTTTTATTTGTTAATTATATCTTATACACCCATTTCAAGAAACGTTGTCGGTCGGCGATCTGAAATCTGAGACCGAAAGGAATTGTGGGTTGTAGTTCGCAAAAAGTTAATATCTTGATATACTAACTTTGAGCGATGACCTGCGCTGACAAACTATCTGGGTAAGTGTATATTGAATTTTGAACGAGAAAACACTCAGTTCCCCACAATTCCAATCAGTCTCAGATTTCTGATTTCAGATATCCAACCGACAACGTTTTTTGAAATAGGTGTACACTGGATGAGGAAAATATCATGTCATCTGTAGAAATCAAAGTTCTCTTACTTTTCTGGTTTTTCTTCGTCTTCTTCTTTCACTGTAGCAACGGTAGGTTGTTTAGCCCCCTCTCCTTGACCATCATTCAGAAACTCGTCCAAACTTTGAACATTCTGTCAAAGGATTTAAAAAAATGCAAAACCGAATGACCAAACGATGCTGAATTACTGTAAAAAAATCCTTGTTTTACGAGGGTAAAACTTAATAGCCAGTGGCTAAAAAAACAAATTAAGAATAGCTACATACCTAGAATTAATTTTAAAAAACCTAATAGGACGGATTGCATGATGGCGTCATTTGACTCCCACTACCAAGAATGCTTCGCGAATTTTCTTTCTTATTTAAATTTGTATTCCCTCATGAGAATAGTAAGACAATAGCCAATGTGGACGAGCACGAATATGTAGCACAAAGTACGATGGGAAACCGAGTACTACACAAATTAGAACAAAAAAATCAATAGAATTAACACAAAAAATACTATTTTATCTTCGTCTGTTGAAGTACGTAAAGTTTCATAGAAAATGTCAAAGGAAAAATTGTCAGAGGAATTTTTAGAGGAGCTGAAAAACCGTAAGTACTCGGTTTCCCATCATGCTTTGTGCTGGAGATTCGTGCTCGTGCATATTGGCTATTGGTGCTAATTAACTGAACAAACGAAAGTGTGCAAGGGAGTCTGGTAGTTGAGGTCAATGATACCAACATGCAAACGTCCTATTACTAGCAATAATACAACCATATAATATTATTACCTTTTTCTTCTTCTTGCCTTTCCCCTTGGCACCTCTCAGATAACATCCCTGAAACATGATAACAATACACTGTGTCAGAGGAACACTGAGGGAAACAGTAATAGATAGATGGTTATACAAGGTGAGTTGATAGACAGACCCACAACAAGGGTCTGTGATCTGTTTTCTGTTTCTTTATGTGTTGCTTTAGCCACCTTCGACGGCCGTATGCTAGATAACTTAAAAGCGGCGCGCGTCTATATACTGCGAAATAAACACGATGGGAGCTGTAGAGCAAGAGAGGAGTCGTAGAGAAACACGAGGCGTAGCCGAGACTTCTCGAGTGCTTTACAGCTCCCATCGTGTTTATATCACAGTATATAGACACAAGCGGACGTTTTATATCGCTTTTATAAAATATTTTTGAATGATTTCGCGCGAACGTGTCTCTGTCCTCTGATATAAACAAGGTAGCCACCCAATCAGCGCGCGCATTATATCTCAAATATTTTATAATAGTTAATTATGTTTCATTTCCATGAAGTAAAGTCATTATCGTCATCCCATTGGCTCAGCCGGTTGGTAACTGGCCTGTTGTGCACGTGCGGAAGGTGGTGGGTGCAAGCCTCTGCCGGATTAACACTCAGGGTCCAAGGGTCAGTTCATTTTTTATGGCCATGGGGGAGGAGGGCTGGGGGGATTGGGGGGGGGGGGGGGGGGGACGTAAACAATCATGGCATTTAAATGGGAACCACCTCAAAAATATTTAGCTATCAATAGAAAATTTATTTAACAAATTAACCTGTTGTAATTTGTTTACCGAGCTCAGAAATAAGGCTAAGACGGCATACACTGGAGTTTTAAGAGTGGTCAATACATACCAGATCATCTTGCATTCTTTCTTCTCCTTTTCTCAGGATGTAAACTCCAGTATCTACCACCCTTGTGTCTTTGATGAGTTGTTGTGGTTCTGCACACTAATGACACACAAGTGAATATAATAAATCCGGTGCGCTCATTGGTTACAATTTACATCTTATGCTGCTATATTCACCTGCAGGTGAATGTAGCACGCACGCTTAAACTCACGCTTATTTGTCAATTTGTGCCGCTTGCAGAGATAAATAAAATTTTAAAAAAAACTTTGTCTTCATTATTTATTGCATTCACTTGTGTTGATATACTAAAACAATCATTCACCTCGGGCTTGGTAAATTATCGGGGAATATTGACTCGCGTCTTGGTAAATATTCCCCGATATTCACTTAGCCTTCGGCGAATAATTCTTAATTAATTGGAATTTAGCTTGTGAGGTTAATATGGAGGGAGGAAAACAAAAAACCCAGAGAAAAAACCTTGTATCAAGGGAGAGACCTAACAGACTCTGCTCATATGTGATGTCGCGTCCAAATAATGAACCCAAGACTCCAGAGGTGAAAAGTAAGTGAACTACAACTACCCCACTCTTGATTTCTAAATTCACTTTCTGCACATACCTGGGTTTTATGTACTTCTTTCTCTTCTGGTTCTTCAGCTGAAAAAGTAAGAACGAATCTGTAAGAACATACATTCATTCATAAGTGTGACGTCTATTAAGGCTTAATTAAATATACATAATTGAACTGGTTCATAGAAACAGTATTTAAAAAGATCATTATTTTACTCATGGTTTACATGAAAGCTATTTTAAATTTGCATTATTCAAAATGGCCAGCATTTAATATATTACTAGTTACAACAAAAACACTAAAATACCTTACYTGACGTCATCATCATTAACATATTGGAAGTATGAACCTTCATAACTTAGAGACGCATCACTCAAATCAAGAAATATTTTACCAATAAACTATTTACTTTATGCAGAACCAGTACTGAAAATATTGTCAAAGGGTTCATTTGCACTTTTAAAACAAATTCAACTGGGATGATATTAGAAGGATACACCTAACTGAAAAAACGTTGTCAGGTTCAAAAAAAGGTTATATCATCAAAGCTAAGACCGAAGGGGAGCATGGGAAGACAAACAATTATGCTAATTTCATGCGTATTGCAGTTTTCCCTTCCTGTGCACATTTTATGCATCATGGCTTTGGCATGTTGTTAATCTAGGTCAACCGACTTTGCTCTACTGTGCATTTTTACATGTCTATATGCAAATATAATACACATTTCGGAGTACCCAAAATCCTTTTAGCTTCGATGATATGACCTTCCTGAACCCGACTACGTTTTTTCAATTAGGTGTGTTGTTACAAAACATTTCTATATTGTTTATTCCAAGAGCATCAAGATTAACCTACCCGGTTTTGTTTTTTCCTTGATATTGTTCGGAGCAGGATCTTTATTCTCTTGCTCTGCCATATCTTTTTTAATGTTGTCTGCTTTCACTTCTTCTTTTTCCTTTCTTTGTTTCTCTCCTTTTGGTTGTTTTTGATTGCTAGAATAGACAGAATTGATTGTTTATCAATGAATTATATCCTAGGGAATATTTGTTAAGTGGGAAATGCATCCCGTGATTTATCGGCCATTGGCCCAACACCAGACAGTGTAGTTTATAGGGTTGATGCCCCCTTGTCATGATGCCCCCAGTCATGACGCCCCCACGTATACCATGACGCCCCCAGTCTGTACTACCGTGACGCCCCCAGTCTGTACTACCGTGACGCCCCCAGTCTGTACTACCGTGACGCCCCCAGTCTGTACTACCTTGACGCCCCCAGTCTGTACTACCGTGACGCCCCCAGTCTGTACTACCGTGATGCCCCCAGTATAAACCCCTAGTCTCTATTAACACTTATTTAATAAGAAGTTTAACAATATTTCATAGTATAAATCCAAGAACGACAAAAAAATAATGAAAAGGAAAAAAGTTGACAACAAAATTTCATCTGATTTAAGTCCGATTATTAAAAATTGAATCGGTTGGAATCACAAACTCTTTAGCACTGTCACAGATTTTCTGTTTTTGGGGAGGGGGAGGGGTAGGGGAGGGTTAATATGTGATTTGTTCTTACCCATGAGCTTTCACTTTGTTTTGCTTCACTTGTTTTTGTTTGGCTTTCACATTTTCTGGAACAAACTGAAAAAAGAATTTAAGTTTTCATGGCAAAATCAAGGGCTAAAATGGCAGTGTTGTTAGGCAACAGACCTTTTACCGTGGGAGTAATGTATTCCCATTTCAGACCACATGTCATTCCCTAGAGTA